ATTGTTTAGACTGTTTATTCTAATCCCACCTAGCCTAGCCTATTGTTTCTAATCATGCTTGCATGAAATTCTCACTTTATACTATCTGGCTTTTTCAACCATGGAGAAAATAAAATATTTTATTTTCTCCATGTTTCAACCCTCACTCACTCGCCACTGAGGAAGGACTAGTGTTGTCCGAAAGCTCTGGTTCTATTTCTGGCTGTTTACTTACGTTTACTTTTTAGCTGTTGCTTATCATTTTTGTATCTCTACTGAGTGTATAAGAGACAGCAGTAGAGATACAAAAATGATAAGCAACAGCTAAAAAGTAAACGTAAGTAAACAGCCAGAAATAGAACCAGAGCTTACGTATATTCAGCCAATAAATTAAGTTTTGGTCAGGTTATTTTCTCTAAATGTTCAATATTAATAACACATTTATTGGAACAGTTTTTGTTTGTTATTTATAGCTCATGAGCGATAAATATAGATGCCATACCACAGTGTTTCATATTTAAGACAGCTGAGATATTTTATTCTAAATGGACTTTGTTGACTTGTATTTGACAATTGTATTTGACAAACACATAACCTCTAAATTTTCTAAAAATCCATAGTCCATAAATTTAATGTAAAGGACTCTTTCTCTTTTAATTCGTTGTACATTAATTTGGTTCTTGCAACCCTATTCTCTCCAGGTGCCGATTCAGGTGTTCTTTATTGTAATAACAATGACAATTCTTTGCTTTTCAGATACGATTCTGTACGTTGCAATTGCTCTGGCTTCTGTAGTCTCGGTTATTGTCATAGTATGTACCATAGTCTTCGTGTGCCTGTGTCTATACAGGAAAAATCTTTACCAGCAAAAGAAAATTACTGCACATCCCAAAAATAGGCATAATCGTCATCAAACGCCTTATCAGTTTGGATATCTAGATAGTGACAGTCTATCTAGTTCCTCTCATTCAGATAGACTTGTGCAATACCAACGAGGTTTGATGCTCAACTCAAGAACTGATGTAAGTAGTATGTTCACTGTGCGTACATTGTATAATTGACATTTCTATTATATTATGGGTTTTCACCTGTTCTTTTTAAATTATAATTCAAAGGTTGGTGGATATAACAGAGCAATGCCTACTACCGAATTCCGTCGTCCCTATGTTGTTTCTGGTGACGAACAAGAGGTAAAGAACATGTAAAATTAAGAAATGGTAATTTTAAATAGAATGTTTGAATGTTGATGGCCCACCCACTGGACCACTTTCGAAAGATTTTGAGTGATGCCTGTCCACGCCTATTTTTCTCTTGTTGGGGACCTCGGCAAATCATGGCGCACAAATTTTCATAAACAACATATCCTAAGTTGAAACAAACTTAAAATCTTGAACGTGATCATTAATCCTGAACGCGATCATAATTTTTCCATTTTACAGCATGTGTACGACAACAGGGGCCGTGATTTCAACGAAGAGCGCTGGCTAGACCGCCGTAGGGACAACAACTACAGATAATCCACTCCAAATGACAATGAACCTTTTGATGTAATAGTTATGATAGACATAGTATAATGCTTACAATAATTTTTATTATTTGTATATATTCTACGCTCTCTAAAATAAATTGGAGGCAATAATAATCAAGAAGTTGTACACAACACAAAGGTAAATCGTACGGTTCAAGTTTATTAACTCTATTATTCATATACTACGGTACTGGAGTATAACTTAGTCATACAGTACATATTCTGAATATTTTAACTAATTCTTTGTCATCTTGGGGCTACTCATGTACTGCCTTGTATTTTTGAGACTCAGTTGAGATCCCGATAGAACAGAGTAGATTCCAGGGAGATCTCACTAGCTATTGTTATTTACTTAGTATTAAATATTCATAAATCTGCATTATTACTACATTATTTCGTGAATACTTACCTGGATAAACTGACTAATTGCCATTGTTTCCAAACGGAACACCCCTTCGAAATAAATGGAACAGTCCGCCCAGGGCGCCACGTACGAACCGTCTCCCTAACAAACGTCCTCATTCCCTTTTCGACCTTCGTTAATCTGCATTATTGAATTTGGAGCGAAATACTTCACCAAGAATTATACCAGCCATTATCACATGAGTAGCACCAGTGTTGAGTAGGCCTATGTTAGATGGGAAGATGTTAGGGATGGTCTGGTGGCGAAATCAGAATTTTGTATAATTCAGTGAGATGCTGTTACAACCAAGACATTCTTTACGTTAAGATGTACACCCGAGACCGGCCATAATTCATTGACTTAAGTTGATTATGTAAATCTATATACATGTAGCTGAGACAACCATACAAGTTCTAAAGTTGTCTCAGCTTTTAGGTAGCATACCACCCACTTTTCTATGCTGTAGACAGTGGTTTATATCATACCTCTATGGGGGACAGTTTGCTGTACTTTTGCCGCTATTAACATGTTAATGTTTCATCAGCCTGCTTGTGATAGGACATATTCCTTCCTACAGTACTTAGAAGGCCCTACACAGTTAAACCACCATCACTTGGAAACAATGAGTTTCTTTATACGGTCCACTTGTATGTAAACATCTTAATTTGCTTTAATTGTTTCAGGTTGTTTTTTTACCAAATGTTTATATGAATTTATTTTTCTACTGATAATATATATATGTGTATTTTGCATATTGCAGCTTATTTCATTTAATAATTACCTATACCAATAAATGACTATAATTATAGTATGCTGTTTAGTACCAATATTATATTAAATAAAGATTAGGTTAGGATTATCAGAATTTTATTAAAAACATTGATGCATATATGTTACATTTAATAGTCATTTTATACAACAGTCGTTCGTTTCGTCATATTAATATCTGTTCTATAACTGGTCATGGAACTCATGGGACATTAATAACGACCATAATATTACTGTATCTTAAAATTGTGATTTATTAATGTCAATTTAGGTCATTTCCCAGTATTGACTGAATTAAAGTATTTCATAGCCTTGAAAATAAGAAAATTGTTAAAAATATGTGTTGCCCTAAAAACAGGTTTTTGCTAATAAATATTTTCCTGGTTATTTTTTGGAGAAAATGTTCCATTACCGCTGATAGAAATATATGTATTCTGAATAATATGAGACCAAATTCAACTCTCCTGCACAAATATTACAAGAGTTACGGAGTTTCCCAATTTTTGCAAACTTTTACCAAAACCGACCAATTATATATTTATGCATATTTAGAATTTAAAAACATATATATTTTTGGCTTTTCATTATTGTCACTTTAGCTATCATTTGCTGCCATTGAATAAGTGGAAAGATTCGGTGCCTTTGGAAATAGGAAAATTGTATATTTAAAAAAAATGTTTTTTAGCCAAAAACTGTTTTTTTTTTTTGGTAATATATTTTTCCTGGTATTTTGTGGGGGAAATGCTTCATTGTAGCATACTGAGTCTTCCGCACAATTTAATACCAAAATGAACGCTCTACGACCAATAGTAACCGAAATACAGAGTATTAGTCTTTCTTCCCCAAAATGGACGTTTTTGCAATAAAGCGGCCACTTTGGCCCTTAGATGAAATAATTTCACTTGGGATCCACCAGATTCGTGATCATCAAGGTCAAAATGCCCTAAATAAATTGGATCCTCTCGATCGGCCCAAATTTCGCCCCCCCCCCCCTTTTGGGCATCTCTGGGTCCGCCCCTGGCTTCTACCCAAAAATGGTGCCTATTGAATCATCATTTTTAGGATTTGGAACCTGCCTATATGAAAAGCCAACAAATCAGAACAAAAACAATGGCTTTTCCAGCTACTGCTGGGAAAAGCCAAAATATTAAGAGCACTCAGTAGAGAGCATATCTCCGCCCACCGCAAACTCTTTTTATAAAATAAATATTCAAAAATATGTTCCTACTTTCCAACCACCACCACCTACTTATAAAAGTACACTAACCCGGCCTACCGGAAACGCCTTTAATTGTATTAGATTGTTACGGTACATGCCAATTTTCTTCTGGTTAAATACACTGGAACGATTTACTCTCATGGTTAACAAAATACACGCCAATCCACAGTTGATGTGCATTGAAATACATGTGCTACTGCTGGGCTACAAAAAGGCTGTCGGTTTGATTAACCATAGGATTTTAGTTGAGAAACTACGTAACCATGAAACTATTTTTAGATGGATAGAAACGTTCCTATGTGAACAACGACAGTGTGTCAGAATTGGCACACACCTATCCTGTTGGCTCTCACCTAATGGTGGTATCCCACAGGGTTTCTGGTTAGGACCAATCTTGTTTGTATATTAACGATGATTTTAACACGGATCTCCATACAGTGTACATGGATACAACAGTACAGTGTTAGAGAAAATACAGAAAGGCAGTCGAAGCAACCTCTAGGCGACCACTAACAAAATATACAAATGGTCCGTGGAAAATGAGATGAAGCTTATACGAAAATAAATCCGTTGAAATGCTTGTTAGTTGTAAACGTGCCAAGTTATCGTTCCCGCCTTTAAAGATCAATGACAGCGATATAACAACTGCACAAGACGTTAAGCTTTTAGGTCATCATTCAAAGTACTCTTTCCTGGCAGGGCCAATCACAAAGGAATGTGCTACCCGTCTGTTCTTCCTGAAGCAGTTAAGGTGGTCAGCACTGACCAACAATTGAATATGCGTGCCCTGTGTGGGGCACCGCTCTGACAAATCAGCAAATGAAAGAAATACAAAAAATAGAACGCAGAACGATAGGTTGTATCCTCCCAGGTATAAATTATCAAGAGGCATTACATTTACTAAATTTGACGACAATAAAAGACAGGATACTACGACTTAGCAAATAGTACTTCACAAAACTCAAAAAAGAAGACCACAGACTTCACCACTTACTCCCAAAAGCGATAGCTCATAACCATAATTTAAGAGGACGCCGAGATCATTACATTCGAAATTCGGAACAAACAGGTCCAAGAACTGTATTGTTAATTTTAAAATTGGTAGACGTTTTTACCTCTCAAAGTCCACGTTCATGAGACTCTTTCGAGTATTTCCCGTGTACACCAATACTTTAAAATAATAAATAACATTAATAATAATAATGATAATTTGAAAATTAATTAACATGGTAATTTTTAGTATGTAGGAATTTTATTTTTATAATTACAGTGTGTACAGATATTATTTTTTTTAATAATGTTAATGATCATTTTGTACGTGTATAAAATATAAAATTTATTTTTATATTTATAATTTTGAAATTTTTTACATAAATAACTATAACAAAATAAATTTACCAGACAATATTTTAACTTCAAATGCACTGTTAATTGACAAAAACGAGTACATATTCAAAAAATTAACAGAGATGTCTAGCATAACTAGTTCATTAGCAATGAAATGACTATGTTTTCGAAGTTTTTGTCTTTAAAATTTTTTTTAATCCATGAGATCTTCAGGTTTCTATCCAGTGTAAGAATTGAATTCCGTCTGTTACAACTGTTATTTGAGGGGATTATCTACAATATTTAAACACAAAATATGACTATTAAATTTAAACATTGACAGTCCAACGGCGGCGGAGCGTTTATGGAAGTGAGAGGGGGAACTTAATAAGGTCCAGTATGCGAGCATCTAGGCTAGGGGCCAGGGGGCCGCCTGGAAGCTACGGATATTTGACGAAGTTTGGTGAACTTTTTTAAGGTATTTTATAGGCATCAAGCTACTGTAATATGACTTCAAAATTGTTGTAATTTCCAGTGGGGGATCCAGGAATTCGAAATAGAGGGGGCCCAGGCGGGTACTTTGACAAATGGAGGATCTATACTATCTGAGCCCTACGGTGGTTGGGGCTGAGGTAAGAAAATTTGCGATTTTGGCACCTCTAGATGGCCGAAAATTGCGCTTCTAGACATAACATTTGAATATAATTTTTTTTTATCTCCATTCTTTTATCTTAAAAATTGAACAATCTAGGGGCGTGGGGCCCGGGCCGGCTGGGACTTCTTGAATCCGCCACTGGGTATTTTCGCAGATGGGGGATCCATACCATCTTAGCCCCACCATGGTTGGGTCTGAGAAAGAAAATCTGTAATTATGGCACGTCTAGATGGCCGGAGATTGCACTCTCAGACTTGAATATAATTTTCTTTATATCTATATCTCCATTTAAAACAAAAAAATTACAATTTAGGGCTACCCTCACCACATTGAATCCACCACTGATTTCCGAACAAAGTCGAGATTGCTTTCACGATCTCAATGAATTATTTATCATGAGGGGTATCCTTAATATGGGTATTCCCCGACGAAACTTCACTTTTCCTCCGATGGATAAAAAATTACCCTTCTATAGTAGGCCGCCTGACATGATACAATGGAGGGTCCAGGAAGTCGAAATACAGGGGACCCATGGAGGGTCTTGCGCAAATGGAATATCCACCCACCTCAGCCCCGAAAACTAACCTAAATTTATCCAATATAATTTTTTTTTTAGACAAAAGTGAACACAATTAAATCAATGTTTTTTTGACCGAACCACAAACATTATAACAAGTTACCGATTTTATTGGTAAATTTCAGTTTTTATTAATTTAACCATCTATTAGGAGGCAGGTTCTATTCTCTGCAATGTAGGTCTGTCCTTAGCATCATTGACCGGCTGTATAAAAACTACTATGCCGGTCCAAAGCATTTTATGGGTCTCGATTTGTATTAACTTGATCTTAAATTTCAATGTCTTGTGATACCGGTAGTGCCCATTAAAACACACTACTAATACTGGTACCCAACAGTGATTCTAATTTACTAGTACAATATCATCAGCTTTTCTAGAACGGTGTTTGCCTAGAGCTAGTACACAGGAACCTGGCTATATTGTGGCCTGCTATTATACCACTGAATTTTAGTCCTTGGGGTTATCTGGGCTCCCTTTTTAATCATTCAGTCATTTAGAAGCAGTTTTCTCCATTATAGCCTGGTTCTCACGAGAGCCCTAGTATCTGGATCGGGAGCTAACCGTTAGCGCTAACCGTTAGCACCTGCATGAGAACGCCCGATCGGTTAGCGCTAACCGTTAGCGGTATCCGGATACGCCAACGGTTAGCAAGCGCTATGTTAGAAAGTTGAGGGCGTTTCTATCATCAACCAATCACACGTACGCGTTTACAATTGCCAGTTTCTTATTGGCCAGTGATTCGATCATCATATTGTTGGTATCCGGATCGGGATTTTCTCGCATGGACGAACGGCAGCTAACGGTTAGCAGGATCCGGATCCTGCTAACCGTTAGCTGCCGTGTGAGTACATAACCTTAGACGATTCCAGTTTTTAAATAACCCTATAATTATGCTGTTTAAAGACTAGTCTTTAGCCTGGTTCTCACGAGAGCCCTAGTATCCGGATTGGGGGTTAACCGTTAGCGCTAACCGTTAGCGCTAACTGTTAGCACCTGCGTGAGAACGCCCGATCGGTTAGCGCTAACCGTTAGCAGTATCCGGATACCGCTAACGGTTAGCAAGCGCTATCGGTTAGCAAGTTAACACATTTTATCATCAACCAATCACACGTACGCTTTTACAATTTCCAGTTTCTTATTCGCCAATGATTCGATCATCATCTTTGGTATCCGGATCGGGATTTTCTCGTATGGACGGATCCGGATCGTGCTAACCGTTAGCAGCCGTGTGAAAACTTACCGGTAGCATTTGTTTTTGATTGGAGACTGAAAACCTGAGGCCACCCCACGTTTCCAGGTCTTAAAGGTGGTCTCCAAATGGAAGGCGAACTTTTTTTCTTTTTTTTTTGGGTGACAAACAGTTTCTGATGCATTGAGGGAAATACGATTGATTAACGTCATCGTTGTTAGGCAGAAATTAAAAACAATTTGAACATGATCATTTACGAGGAAATCTTTTTCCATTCGATTGCATTCAATCCAAATTGAAAGCAAAACGTTCATGAAAAAGGTGAATAAAATATACAGAAACAAACATATCTATTTATTTGCTCATTCAAGTAGATAGTGAGAACAATTTTGCCTGCCTGCTCCCACAATTAAACTATAGCCCGCTATAATCTGATATCTGAGGCGTGAAGAATGGTACTGTAGGTACGCAACTCCGTTTTGACAATCCAATCAAAACAGTTTCTGTATGTGTAGTTATGCAGAACGTACTGTTAGATGGATTAACCGAGGCTAAATATGATTTTATTAGAACACTCCAACGAGTAAAGCACTATCTGTAAAAGGTTTTTTTTCTTATAACGTTTAAAATATAAATACTGCCATTATTGCCGTCATGTACAAGTAAAATATTTAAGTCTTATTTTGTAAACAAAATGAATTGTTTGCTTGTTGGATTAATTGTCCTCTACCATGCATCTGTTTGCTACATTCAATCGGGGAACACAGGTGAGTGTTTTATTAACTTATTGATCCATCCATCAGTAATTCATTATCATATAGCTAGTATTTTGTGCTGTAGGTAAAATTGTTCTAACATATTAGTAATGTATGTGGATGCTTCAGAGCTTTAAGATTGAACAATACAAATGAAAATGTTATCTTACAAAATCGGAATACGCAGGTATTAATGATGTTTTCGTAAACCTAGCGTGTTTAATATATTGAATACCATACTAATCATAATAAAATGGCTAGTGATATGGGAACCAACAAACTTAGCATTATTTGCTTGTCTTATATGTGTTATAAAGTCTTAATGACGAATTATGGCTGTTAATAATTACCATGGAGGTAATACTTATGATAAATGTGACAGTAAAAAATAGTAATTGACGCTACATACATACATTACATCATTTATATAGCGCTATTTCATGAATATCAGAATGCTGTAAGCGTGGACTATACAGTAGCTCATACAGTGACTTTCTTCTCACCTAAGGGTCTCTTCGTGTCTGCACTGGTCAGTAAACCGGTACTAGCTACCCTCGTCTGTCCACAACGCTACCATACATTGTATGCAAGTATTATGTAATTGCAGCTGTTGGGTGTTGATGTGCACTTAAAAAATATATGTCAGGAAACTCAATCTCAATACAATAAAGGAACTAAGATAGTGTAATACATACTCCAAGTATCGAAATGCGCGCCATCGTGTCGGGATTCAATATTTCGACATTAATTATGTCATCATCAGGAATGAAAAATTATTAATATTTGCAAGCTTATATAAGTACCAAAAGTGATTGACCAATCAAAACATTACCCCTAGTAGGTGAAATAGTTGAATAAACTAAAGATCAAAGCATTTTACCCTACTGATCAAAGCTACCTACAAAAACAAGGAAAGTTCCTTTGAGAAGCTTTCAGCCCATTGTTAAGCAATGTGTGTAGCCAACTTATAGCAAATGCTTCATTAAACAATAGTAAAGACCAATTTTGCAAACTGTCAATAGTGTTAGTATTAGGAAATATTAAACATAATTTATTACTTACATTACAGCCTACATTATCATTTTCAAGTATACCTTGTAAACCTAAAACATATTGGAATGCCTCACAATTTTCTATATGATCTTCCTGCTTTTATGCCATGTAATGAACCCCTTTCGGTTGAAATTTAGGAAATGTAGGCCTACTCTAAACTTAGTAAGATGTATGCACTTCATTTAGGAGAGAATTTCTCAACTGTTATAGACTAATATGAACCCTAGGAATAAAATAGAATGTGTGCCAAAATCTCTATCCGGGACGAACAGCCCGAAAATGACCACGCCCTTTATTAAATGGCCACGCCCCCTTTTTAAAGGGTAGGGGTATTTTGAAATTAAGCTAGACGGTACAAGAAAATAGCAAATGAAGGGGTTTTTGTTCTAAATGAGCACAAATGACAAGGGAATTCAATTCCTAAAATTACGTCTCCGTCACATTTTCCGTTCATATGCAAATTAGCTTGAATATGCAAATTAGGAGTGAAAAAATAGGGTTCCCATGGGCTGAGAACCGCTGGTCGTAGCGAGTTCCTTTCTTTTTAAAATTGTTCAGACCATGCATATTTCTATTTGCTTTAATGTGATATTTGCTTAAAAAATGACAGGAAATGCCATATTTGACCTTTGACCTTATTTGCAAATTTTTCCATATTCTCACGACTACTGACTGTAAGAAGTTGGATTTGGTCTCAAACTACGCATATTCAAGTTCCGATTCACGGTAATTCACTCAGAAATTGTACAAACTACGTTCCTGACCTTTGACCATAACAACAGTTGGAGAGTTTTGATTTTAGTATAAACTGTCTAGAAGGTAAAATTTTATATCAATCTTGGCAGATTATCAGAAAATGATGCGCAATATTTTATTTTTAATCACAATATCAACAAATGCTATCTTTAGGATTAGTAATGAAAAATATATTTTTAAAAAGACTCTAATAGGCAGCACAATGTGAGTAGTTTATTGATTACATAGAAATTGTATTTTCAAGCATCCTATTTTTAATCTTGCGGATATTTCCCGCACGATTAAAATCCTAACGGTAGTGGGTTTGGTCTACAGGAGTTTGTGTTTCGTACAGGTCATTCCATTCATAGAAAAAGCTTTTATATTGGAGAAAGCGTACTTGTCGTTAGACATAGTAGCCTAGGTCAATACTAACTCCGGCTATATAAAATTGATTATAAGATTGAAAAATATTAATCTTATTATTGTACTAGTGATACTATGTACACGTTTTAATTATTGTTATTTATTTGTTAACGTTATTATATTTACATTTAAATTTAATGTATTGTTTAAGTATGAATTACTATGTCCATCTTAAATTAATCTTATCTATTAAAATTGTATATTTAAATAATATTGTAATAGGCATAGCCGAGGTCTAGTCTAGGCTAGGCCTAAAAGTGACTATATATGTGAGTGTATAAAATTATGAATAAAAACGCAAAATTGTGAAAGAATAAAGGAAGAATAGGAAAGAGATTTGAGGTTTATGTAAATTCGATTTCAAATTATCAAAAGTTATAGGCTGTGGCACCGAGACCTTTGACGATTAGTGCCCAAAATGTTTACAAAAACGTAATACAATAATGGCATATTGACTACTATTATATATTTTCGGAAAATAGTTCAGCCGCTCCAAATTCATAATTTTATACACTACACATATAGTCACTAGGTTTAGGAGGCCTAGGCTAGGCCTCAGATATGCCTATTACTATATTAATTAAATATACAATTATAATAGATAAGATTAATTTATTATATATTTTCGGAAAATATTTCAGCCGCTCCAAATCTCTTTTCTATTCTTCCTTCTTGCTATGTTTATTCATTACTTTTAATTCATAATTTTATACACTACACATATAGTCACTAGGTTTAGGAGGCCTAGGCTAGGCCTCAGATATGCTTATTACTATATTAATTAGAAAAACAATAATATATAAGATTAATTTAACATGGACATAGTAATTCATAATTAAACAATACATTAAATTTAAATATAAATAATATATATAATATCGTTAACGAATAAATAACAATAATAGTACGTAGTATCATCACTATTACAATAATAATCTTATAATCAATTTTATATAGCCGGAGTTACCTAGGCTACCATGTCAGTAGACATGGGAATAGGGAAAAACTTGTAAATAGGGTCAAAGGTCAAATATGGAATTTCCGGTCATATTTTAAGCAAATCTCACATTAGAACAAATAGAAATATGCATGGTCCGAACAATTTTAAAAAGAAAGCTACTCGCTACGACCAGCGGTTCTCAGTACATGGGAACCCTTTTTTCACTCCTAATTTGCATATTCAAGCTAATTTGCATATTAACAGAAAATGTGACTGAGACGTAATTTTAGGAATTTAATCCCCTTGTCATGTGTGCTCATTTAGAACAAAAGCCACTTCATTTGCTATTTTCTTATACCGTCTAGCTTAATTTCAAAATACCCCTACCCTATAAAAAGTGGGCGTGGTCATTTTCGGGCTGTTCGTCCCGGATAGAGATTTTGGCACACATCCCATGTTATTCCTAGGGTTCATATTAGTCTATAACAGTTGAGAAATTCTCTCCTAAATGAAGTGCATACAAATCTTAGTCAGGTCCTCTACTACCAAACTTACAGTATTAAGAACTTCGCTTGTGAATTTGCTACACCTATTTGCAATATTTTCAATGCCTCTCTAAAAGAAGGATATGTACCTCAGATTTGGAATGATGCCAATGTTATACCCATACCTAAAGAAACCCCTGCATCTATCGACAAACTTCGCCCAATTTCCCTTACCTCCCAACTCTCTAAAGTTTGTGAGGATCATCTGCGGCTGGGCCATGAATGATATTATTGATAATATAGACCGTTATCAATTTGGATGTTTACGTGGATGTTCCAGCACGCATTGCCTAATCGAAATGTTAGATAAACTATATAGAGGGTTAGACAAGGAACATTCTATTGGCACTATGGTAATTACAGATTTTACCAAGGCTTTTGATTGCATCGATCATTCTGTTGCTATTAATCGACTTCTTAAACTTGGAGTCAGGAATGAAATTATACCTTGGATCATTGACTTCTTACATTCTCGACGCCAGAGAGTTAAGTATAGATGAAAATGAAACCAAGATTATCGGACTTTACATACAGTCTAACCTTAAGTGGGATACTATGGTTAACAATATTATTTCTAAAAGTAGCAAAAGATTACACATCTTGTATAGGCTTAAAGGTTTTGGCGTCCCCACCGCTGATCTTGTGTTTGTTACATCGGGTATATCAGGCCAGCTTTAGAGTACGCCGTCCCAGCCTGGTACGCCGGTATATCTATAACTCAAAATACTCAAATTGAACGAATCCAAAAGAGAGCTTTAAGAATTATCATGGGTAAAAAGTTTGAGAGCTATGACAATGCGCTTACGATCACTGGTCTTGAAACTCTTTCGGATAGAAGAATCCATTTGTGCGTTAAGTTTGCGCAAAAGTGCTCTAAATCCCCTAGATTCTCAGAATGTAAGTAATAAATTAGGTTTAATATTTTCTAATACTAGCACTATTGACAGCACGCAAAATTGGTCTATACTATTGTTTAATCAAGCTTTTGCTATACGTAGGCTACACCCTGCTTAACAATGTTTGCTGAAAGCTTCAAAGGAGCTTTCCTTGTTTTTGTAGGTAGCTTTTATCAGTAGGAGGCTTTGAACTTTATTTATTTGATCTTTATTTATTTATTCAACTATGTCACCAGGCTACTAGAGGTAATGTTTTGATTGATCAATCACTTTTGGTACTTGTGCATATAAGCTTGCAAATATGGATAATTTTCATTCCTGATGATAACATAATTAATGTCGAAATATTGAATCCCAACACGATGGTGTGCATTTCGATACTTGGAGTATGTATTATACTATCTTATCTGAGATTAATCCGTAGACCTTTCTGTTTTAAGAACAAAACTGTATTGACATTCATTGGCAGTTCATTGGTGGAGTTATACAAAGCTTTTGATTGGGAGACCTTCTCTCTGTGTTCAACTGTTAGTTCGCCTACATGTTTTGTAAAGCTTCATTGGTTTTACCTTGAATTTGCGTGTAGTATATGTAAATTTTTCTTTTTATTTTGGCTGAGTATAAATAAGGGCCTAGCAGGAGGGCATGTCTGTACGACCGAATTGTAACGACTATTTGTTTTCAAATTTTTTGGACCTTGTTTACTTACTTATTTATTGAACACATTTACAGTACAAGGGTATAGCAACCTGTCCTGTTTTGTGATAAAGGCTTCTCCTCAAGCACAGATTACATTGAATTTTGTTAAAATACATCCAATACAGTACTGCAATAAAATTATTAAAATTAGTAGGGAAAAAAGATCAGTAGCATTGTTTTGAGACATCTAAACAACTTGTCATACTATTGATAAAAATTTGTAAAAGTAGGCCTGTAAAATTAAGGATATTAAAATAATATTTAAATAATTAGTTGATTATTTTAATGTGCGGCATAGTGTATTCCACACATTACATAGTCATATTGCTGAAGTCTTGGTTATATGACAATGTTAATTGAATCTGCATATATTGTGTTATTCCCATGTCGATCATATGCGAATACTGTCGTTTTTTCAAATGATTTCCTTGAAAATTTGCAATTATTTCCTCTCAATGTGTTGTGTCATAATCTATATTAATTTGTTCGTATTCATATATTTCCTCAATGCAACAAGACAAATTAAATAAAAATGAATAAAACAATACTCGCTTATAGAAAGAAACAACAGTGATCAATAATCAATTGCTTATAAAATAAAGAAATTAATTATTCAGGTTACACGGTAAGTAAAAATATGTGGCGGGTGATTTTTTAACATACTAGACGGTCATACTACTTTATTTTTGTTGGAATCAACATCACAATTTCTCATTACAAAATTCATTATAGGGGCCTTTGTTTTGTTATCATCGCTTTTATTATCATTATAGTATAAGTAGTATAATAATGTCTATATTATCATTATTAATAGACCTAATATTACTATCCTCTATAATTAAGTTATTATGATCAATCCAATTATAATCGTTAATGTTGGGCAACTCGGGCAGCGATTATTTTGGGTGTTTTTTAAATTACATTTGTAGGCCTATTGATATTGTATTGCAAAACAACTAACTACTGTAAATTACTGTATTCGCTTACCTGTACATACGTTTGATTGCACTATAATTTGGTCATAAAAGTTCATGCATACAGAGTAAAAGCGTATAAATTGATCTACCCCACCCCCCCCCCCCCACCAGCACAATGTTTGTGCACTTGTGAAAATACTGATATATTTGGGAGCGACCCCTTACAAATATACATACAATATACTGTACTGTATGTTTGTTTAGGAGTATGCCTGTATAAAAATTACTCCATACCTTTAATTTTTAATCGTATAATTTTTAATTGTAGTCTTATTTTGTATGTACAGTATTTTCCGTGTGTATTTGCATATTTTATCAATGATTGTGTAGAAGTGTGCTCCTTCTTTACTTATTTTTTATATTTTTTGTAATTTAAGCTGAACGCACCACTCTTTTGTTTGCCACCGTTCCAAAGGCGTATGTTCTCAAAGTAGGCCTAAACAAATAAATGTTATTGGAAACAATAAAAAAAAATTAACCAATAAGATAAATAATTTCTAAGTTGTGTATAAAGGTTGGTATTAACTTTTATCTAAAAAATGAATATATTAAAATTGAATTGCATAGAGCATTGTTGGATTGGATTGGATTTATTCGGTGTAAATACCAAGGATATCCCACGAAAGTCTAGAAGAAAACTTATTTCCAGTGGGGTCCTTCTGGTTTCTGGTGGTGATTGGGCAGTACACCGGGAGACAATCCCCTACTCTTTTCCGAAGAGTGTACTGCGTTCTTTAACGTGCACATGGGCCATAAATGCACACGGACCAACAGCTTAAACGCCTCCAGCTGAAACACAAGGAGAGTCAGCGATAGGAATTGAACCAGGGACCTAGAGATTTTCACGGTTCAGCGCACACACAGTGGCTACCACTAGGTTAGCCGGCTGAGATAAGCTGCTCTCTTGGTGACATTAAATATATTATTTTCAAACGTTTCATAAACTATAGATCAGAGAATGAAATATACTTTTCATCTTCAAGTGCTAAATTGATTTTAATATAAGTACTGTGTTTAATAAATGTACTGTGTTGTTTGAATATTTTTTTGTGAACGCACCACTTGATAGTGTGTGCCACTGGTATAAAAGTGTACGGTTCAATAAAGTTATTATTATAGGCCTACATGCCTACACGATTTTATTGATTTTAAATCCCCGATATTCCAAATCTGTCATTTTACAACTCAAATTTGTCAGAACCAACTCAATCTAATGTTTTTAAAAATTTTCCTCGCCTATGGAAATTTGCTGATGTTCGTGATGAGCTTCTTACTAGTCATTTTTAAATGAAATTAAGACATTTTTGAAGCAAATCAATTATTGGCATAAACGAA